ATAAGGCAATTTGCTTGAGAATATATATGTAACTGCGCAACCTATTTTGTGGAATAAGATGAATGTTAGAGCATCATTATATTAAATGAAACAAATATCAGATATATATAAGTTACTGAAATTAAGTATATTAAATTTATCATTCTAGTTAAAAGACTACTACGTAATAATTTACCCTTGCTTGTTGTTACTTGTTCACACCCTGGAACGATTACAAACAGTACTCAAATTAAAATAAATTGCTATAAAATATGCATACTATTGCGAAACCTATTGTGAAGTGTAGGATAATTTGAAGGTCCAAATTGCGTTAAATGAAGTCCATCAAATCTATTTTAATTGGCCAAATTAAATACATTCAATTAATCATTACAAATAAAATAATAAACTCAGTTGTAAGACTGGTAAAAAATTAACTAAAATAAAATATACCTTCACATATTTAAGCCACTAGCTTATCTAACTAAGCTTTAAGCTGCTCCAAAATCTGTGATTATGACATAAACCTACCTGTAATAGTTTAAAAGTTATGAAGCGATTATTCTGAATTAACATCAATATTTTGACATCACATATTTTGTGCAGTATTTTTCCAAGATTAGCATTAAATAGACCAAATTGGATTCATTTATTGTTTTGAAATGAAGTTAAACAGTGAATCCAACTGTATTAAAATGATTTGAAATTAACAATTTCCCATTTGAACAAGCAATTAAGCTTTGTTGGATGTTGTTTGTTTTCTGAAAATTCTCCATTTTAACCCACAAACTTTATTTTCGTGCATGAAGATACCTTTTACCTCTTTCATTATCAATTTGAAAGAAATAAATACTGTTCTAATGTTTAAATCTATTCCCATGATAGTTTCTTTGCAGAATAAAATAATATAATAAATGGTAATACAATAAAAAAATTGCTTTGATTGATTATTTGAGTTATTGAAATTATATATAGTATATTAATCGTTTCGAATTAAAATATGAATCAGATAGTACTGCTCTGACTTACTCTTGCTTGTTGATATTTCTGGTTCATACTCTGGAGGATTGCAAATTTAAGATTTATAACACATTAAAATAGAGTATTTAATTGATTTAATTAAATTAAAATATCACTCTAAAATGACGTCATTTATTTAAACATGATGCGTTTTAAAATTTTCCGCAATTTTCTAATATCATATGGGCTCACCGCTGCTTGTCGTTGTTTCTTGCTTATATTCTGAAAAATAACAAATTTGGCTCTTGAATGCAATTTCATGCATTAAGATGAATTTTCTATCTTTTCAATTATTTTAAAATAAATAAAATTTTTTCTACGTTAATTCAAATAAGTTTATTAAATATTATATTAGTGCCAAATACAATATTAATTCCTAAGTCAAATTAAAAATGCTCAAACCGAAAGTTATAAACCATCTTCTTCAAAATGTTTTAAGTAAAGTTAAGGCTTGCAACTTCTTTATTATTTTTGAAAAGATATGGCTGAAATTTAAGTAAAACGATCGTTATGATTTTCATGATTTTAAATCAAGAATTACAGAAAAATATTATGTTAAGAAAATTTCAAAATGGGGACAGCCAAATTCTTTAATGGAGTTTTAATTTTAGTTCATCATAAGAAAAATTGGCATATTTCTACATTAACCCCGACATAAGCTATTGAATAGGATGTTCTAAGGATCTCATATTTGCAGAAAGATATCATATCTTTTCTGACCTCAATTTCCAAAACAGTAATATTTCACCAAACAGAAAAGAACCAACTTCTGCATTCCGTTATATCAGGTGACACATCTAAACGGAAAGCAAATCGTTGAGAACAGCAAATTAACAAAAATATAGATGAGCAAAATCAAAAAATAGACATACCGTCTGCAGTCCAGTAAACACTAACTCCCACATATGTCTTTTTGGCTACATAAAGAAAATGTGTGCTTGTTTCGCTTCCGATTCGATTATATTCAAGTGTAGTATCCAACTGGTCCATTTCTGCATTTTCAGGAAAGTTTTCTTTGTAATTTAAATAGTGTCAATGAATTACATGAATTACGTATTCTATGAAATTCAAATTGACCCACTGCAGTAATTTTGAGATTGAAACTGAGCAACATTCTTTCCATTCCATAAGCAAACCCTTATATTGTTCCTGCGCATCTCCACCTTAAACAACATGAAGTATTGATATTATCAATATGGAGTTAAAAGTATTTTTATTCTGGAATGATTCAATTAATCAATTGCGAGATTACTTAAATAGGCAAATCACTATTCATTTAAAAGCTAATATAATTTGGTATGCATGTTCATTAATTAAATGTATAACAATTTCACTGAACTCAAATTATTTATTCATACCGAATTAAAAATTTTATTATTAACAGAATTTAATCTGTAAATTGAATTTGTTAGAAATTACATGTAAGAATGAAATAATTAGCAGTGAGTGAATTTGCAAAATATAAATAAAAATTGAAAGCATTATAATTTAAGATATAAGTTCATTAATTAAATTGATTTAAAGCTCTTAGTCTCCCACATTTTTTCTCATAGTGAACATTTATTTCAAATGGCAGGCTTTATGATATTTGTCATTTAATTATGAATCATAAGCACAGCCCAAATTAGTACCATTTGTAATGAAATTGATAACAAACTTACTAGGGAGGTGGATTTCGTTCCATTAATGGAAAAGTTAATTTTTACAGAATTCATTCCTTGCTGAAACCTGACAAACGACACTTGGGGTATTGGTTTCCCTACAAACAACCAAAATATCAATTTAAAAAGAACATTATTTAGTACTCCATTACACTTTATTACGTCGAACCTGGTTTAACGGCTTGGAATTAGCAATATGGGACAAATTTGGCAAGGCATGCATAGTCGGATCCATAGACTGCCAGTCCATTAAATATATCAATGTCATCTATTGTTATGTTCATGTAACCGTAATGAAGAATGTAAAGTTGTAATGAAAGGTTTACAGAAAACCATTACCATTATGCCTTTTACAGGATATCCCGACTAATTCGTTATCATAAGGACAACTGCCATTTGTTATAGTAATAGGCCAGAATTTTCCATTCTCTGTTCCGTATATATTCTGGTAAAGAAAAATAATAAAATGCCTATTGAAATCAATAGCTAGATACACTCATTCCGTTTTTATCAATAAATATTAGAGGTTCAGTATTCCCAGAAGATTTTGACACAATTCTCGTGCAAATTGAATTAGGCAAATCAGAGCCCTCTATTCCTGGGGAAGCATTTAATTGCAGCAAAGTAAAAACAAATAGAATAGTAATCATTGGACCATTAACATAATTCAATATTTGCCATAGTTTAATTAATCTCAATTACCAATACATGCTTTTATTGCGACCAACTTAAGTATATGATTGGCGCCACCAAAATCTGCCATACATCGACAGCCTCAACAACTAACTGACATAAGATTTTATGTTAAGCATTTTCTTTCAACTTTCATGGACACTAATTGAGCTTAAGCCAACTTTGAAATGGGACACTTTGTGGGATATAAGGTAGTTTCTAAAATTATGATGATATTTGTGGTAGAAGATAGCAAAAATATTTCAATTTAAGAATTTGTTCAAATTATCGGATATGAAATGATGTAATATATATTTAACAAATAAAATATACATGCGTCTTCATATTTAAAATGCTTGCAGAAAACATGTAGGAAGCATTTATTTTCCTCAAACATATATTTCGTTGAAACTAAATTTTATGTAAAAATGTAATGGAAAACGACAATAGTGAGCAGACATTTAGATTTAATTATTTCTGCTAAGACGTCAAAATGGAAGTAGGTCCTGTTCGAAAGTGCCAATCATTTATGTAACAACAACACTGTTACAACATTGCTTTCAATAAATATTGGTATTGATCAAATAGGTTTATACTAATCTTTTTCATGATCAATAAAAATAACAATTTTATTGGGGAGTTTAGATTTCAAGTGTGGATATTAACTGAATAATAATTCTTCTTCAATCTATTATAAACGAAATCGAACCAGAAATGAGCTTATTTAAACTTAAATGCATTTTGAAATTGCTAATACCTGGATCATAGAAAAGCTATGCATTAAATATATGATGAAGGAAATTGTTGTTAAAGCGAAAGATTCGATTTAAAATCTTGTCATTGGCAATTTTCCAATGCATGAGCAAGTTCTAGCAAACACAAAAACCGTGGGTAAGACTTTTGAATTGGCAAATTTCAACCCACTTCAAAACAGAGTTATATTTGATGGTAGGGTACGCGATAGACTTACCTCCAAGTGGTGGCCCTGGTCTATAACTCGGTATTTGACTTCAATTTATTGCGGTTGGCTTGAAATGGAGCAAAAAGAGAAGTCGCTCACATCAGAACCAATCACAACTCCTACAAATCCTTCAGTGGAATGCTGGAGGGATGCCACAGGACAAGAAGATCAAAATACTAAAAATCCTACACACCTATGATATGGACACGTTCACAATCATGGAAGCCGATTTTACAGAAAACAAACTCAAATGCTACCAATTCCCAGGTTACACCTCTTGCCTTCTTCCTAACTACCGCCAAGTTGCAAGTGGAATTCTGACTGGAGTAAAAGAAGGCCTCACCCAAGTGGAATTCTAACTGGAGTTAAAGAAGGCCTCACCTCCCACTAAAAGTGGAATTCTGACTGGAGTAAAAGAAGGCCTCACCTCAAATTGCGATCTAATCAAGAGTATGGGCTCGACGCAAGGCATATGCGAAATAATCAGATTCAATGTTTGGAAATGTTAAAACCACTTCATGATATACACAGTCTATAATCCATCGCAGAATTGTCCTAAATTTGATCTTCTTATGATCTCACACAAACAGTAGTATTAGGTGACTTCAACGTCAATTCCACCATATGGGGCAATAAGAGTACAAACATAGGTGGAAAGGAAATCGAAGACATGCTTAACAGCAACTCTCTAGAACTTATTTATAGCAATGACCATCAGACTACATATCTGCTCTAAATGGAATCAGAGCAACTCTTGGCATGCTCCTGGCTTCAATCGCAAAATAATTGACGATCCTGTTTTTGGTTACAAACCAGTCATTGGTAGTATTACCATGGGCAGCAAAAGCATGACAACGAAATTGCCAAAAAACCATCATGGAACTTTAAAAAAGGCCGCCTAGCCTAGATTCATAAACCTTTTAGAGAATGGACTTCACACAAGTCCCCTCAAATTCAACCAACATACTGACAAACTTTGCAATGATATCACGAAAATTATGATTAGATGTGCAAAACTATTCCCCGAGGTAAAACTAAACACTATCGAGTGTTACTATTCCCCGAGGCAAGACTAAACATTATCGAGTGTTTTGTTATTCCCCGAGGCAAGACTAAACACTATCGAGTGTTTTGGTGTCCCCGAGGCAAAACTAAACACTATCGAGTGTTTTGGTCTGAACAACCGAGGCAAGACTAAACACTATCGAGTGTTTTGGTCTAAAGACCTTGAGGACCTTAAAAGAAAGCGAGACGCCCATCGCAATACTGCTGAACAGATTGGAAGAACGAAAGACATACAAGCCTGGAGACGACAGTCAGCTGTCCTAAGGCAAGCCATCTTACTAGCTGAACGGACTACCTTTGATAACCTAGAAATGAAAAAGTAGGTTTTAAGTTACAAAGATCAACTAACCAAAATTTGCCACTTTCTCCCAACATATCAAAGATGCAATTGATAGAAGAAATACTCATACGTCTGTATTCGTCGATTTCAAATAGGCATATGACTTAGTATGGAAAGAGAAGCTAATTCTAAAATAGGCAAAGATTGGTATTAGGCATAACATGCTAAAAATGGATAAAAGAATTCAATAAACAAAGATCATGTAAAGTCGGATATTGGAATGCTCTATCCAAATAAAATATTTTACAAACAGGGAACTGTCACAAGCTGCACTCTTTTCAATGTCTTCATCAATTACATAGCCGAATTGGTGCAGTCAGTCACGGGCATCAAGTGCTTTTTTATGCAGATGATCTCGTTCTATGGTATTCTGCCCCTAAGAAAAACTCTCAGGAGTGGACAGAAAGTGCTCTTAGTTGTGCACTTAAACTACTGGCAAACTGGTGCGACAAAAATGGAATGGTTATCAACAACGCCAAAACTGCATTCCAAACATATACCTTGGCTCGTCACAGCATAAACCCGCTTCTAAGGTACAAGGATACTTCGCTAGAAAAGACAACGAGGCTAGTTATCTCGAAATGACACAAAGCTAACACGGAAAAGTCACGTTGATGAAGTAGCAGACTGAATGTACTGAAGCGTCTCGTTGATAGCACAGGAATGCGCACGCTCAAACCTAAACACTACTTACAGGATGTTTGTTAAACCAATAATGTCGCATTGCTGTTAGCCACCCATTACAGCCACAGAGGTGACTCTCAAACCAATCGAGAAGGCACACAACCAAGCATTATGACTGATTACTGGAGGGATAAAATCAACACCCATTGATGCGATGCTCCTAGTTACAGGAAGCACCACGATATGCTCTCTTATCAAAGAGAACGCCTTGATCATGTATGGGAAGCTACTGGGCATTACCATGATTAAATTCTTCAGCAACTATGATATTAGACCAAGACATCTGTAAACGCAATCTGGAGATAGCAATACGAATTAAAGGCATGCCGAAAATCCTCCATCTACCCGTAGTTTGTTGCACCCAGCTACTTAACTACTTCAGGATAGCAAACACCACTCAAGAACAATTCGCTCACGAGCCCTTGAGACAATCAATGTTAACAACCCTGCAGATCCTAGTCTTCATTGATGAATCATACAGAGAAAACAAAGCAAAAATTAGTGGAGGTGCTTATTCCGAACTCATCTCTTTCTATGCATCAGCGGAACTCAATAGATCCGCATTCGAAGGCAAACTAAAGACCATTAAGAGAGCACTTCTTAACAAATAGGCGAAAGAATACCGACTTTCAAAGTACAGTGCTTATAAGGATAGACAAGAGCACGTTTAATGTTATTTAATAAGGTGTGATTTTAGTTAACTCTTTAAAAGCTTAAAACTTGCCATTTTTCAGTGTGTCAAAAAGTAATAGAAACAGGCATAGACTAGTCAATATGGGAAGTGACAGATTGCATCACGATTTATAATAAATATATATATATATATATATACATATATAAACTAAATTATTATTCCTAACTGATTGAATGAGCATGTTGTTAAAGCAAGTTACATATTTATAATATAATTAATGAATTATATTTTACTAAATCATGTCCTGCCAAGGAAAAATATTAATATATGCTTGTCATCTGGAAGTACGTAAGTAGAAAAGACTTCAATAATCGTTGAAACGACCAAGAGACATCAATGTTACTGTAAGCAATGTCATAATTTAATTAATTTAATAATGATTGTTACATAAAACTAATGAATAAAATAATATTAAGCGAAGTTCAAAATGGGCCTATATCAAAATATTAAACATTGTGGCATAACCTGAATATATCAGAAAATAAATGGATTTGCTTGAATTAAGAGAAAACTCTATTTTATATTGAAAAAATTAAGAATTCATAAATGTATATCACAGGCTATTTATACGAACCTCGCAGTTAGAAAGTGGTTAGTTCTATTTATCCGTATCGATCGGCAAAAGAGGCCTTTACTCCTTGAGTGAGGGAGGTACATCATTATTCGCTTTATTCATGATTTATTCTGAATTATTTTTTTCACGTTAAGTTCAATCTACTCTACTACTTACAGGTCTTTTTTTATTAAAATAATTAGTTTCGAAGATTTGTTAGACATTAACACTTTCTCAAATTTTACAATTTGACTATCATCACATCTTGCCACTTTCAACCTAATTCAGCCCACAACTCTGCAGCATGCATTTACTTTTCTTCGTTTGACTGAAAAAATTTAAAAATATGTTTTTGAAATGAAATTTATTGGTCATGGCACCAACTTTTGAGGGAATAAGTTTTAAAACATGTGAGTCAATATGGTTCCGTTAATTGTAGCAACTTGTTTTCCCCAGGTGCCGTTGAATGAATGTTAATACGACAAAAAATAACTTATGCTTTTATGGGTTATACAGTCAAAATTTAGTATATTGAACTTTATATGTTCCTTTATAAAAATTCATTAATATTAATGCTCAGATAATTATTTCCATCTCACTGTTACCAATTTGTTACTTACGAATCATCCTGGGGGTGCGCGATAGACCTTCCTCCACGTGGTGCACCCTGAGCAACGAATACTCATACAGCATAAAGCATTTTTTCGGCAGTTGACTTTTGACTTCAAATTACCATGACCCCACTCTATGCCCAATTCTAGCACTTTGATAGTACTCATCTTAACTTTTCTCTGCATTTGAGCCCATCTGACTCTTTACATGTGTGAATCACTCTACTTTCCCCCCTCTTGAACTTTTCTCACTATGATGTTCCACCCCTCTGTGAAGTCCGAAGTCAGCAAAATGACAAGTACTAACTATCAAAACGCTTGTCACTTAAAATAAATAAATGAATGAATCAGCCTGTATTTTCTTTGTACTATTCACCTTTTCTGTCTTCATATGGCAATTTGAGCAAAATTACTAATTCGGTGATTGGACGCGCACCCGTGTCACTAGAAAATTAAATTCCACCTAAGATAGAACAAAAGATCCAATTCAGAAAAATCTGCCTTCCATCACCAATCATCAGTGAGTTTTTTACGTTTTCATATGCTTCCTCATTCCGATCTTAACAAGCGCACAGTAGTGTTAATTGAATTGTTGATCAATTGAGTTGGCCATCCCAGCGAGAAATGAACAATTTCAGTCATTACCTGGCCTCGCCAATTAGTAATAATTAATTTGCAGTAGTAATCGATTTCTTCCTTCTTCACTGACTTATACTGGAGCACACAACTTTTCGAATTATAATTTTATTTTCTTAACTGTCAATTTTTGGAGTTTAACATTGAAAATCGTGTAACCACGATTTACAGCGCTTCTAGAATCGGGAATATTGCGTTTGTAAAGTAAACAAAATAATTATTGTGTTTTAAATGTTACAAATTTATCAAAAAATGAACGATGAAATATTAAATTAAGTCGAATAAACAGTTGACATCAAATTAAAGGAACATCAGTTATTAACAAATTGAATCAATTTTTTATTGATCATTTATAAATTATCATGGATTACTGGTGCATAACTAGTCCACTGAATGAGATTAAAATCTAGGTTTAAATGATTTTTCAATTACTTGATTGATGATTTAATTGGATAAGTGATAAAGATCTGCAACCTTGTTGCTTACTGTGCTTGACCAAACTAGGACATTTGTCGAGACTAATTTTAAGGATAAGAACCATGTGTTACACATCTACAGTATGTTAATAACGACCTTGATTTAATTGCTGTACTCAATAGTCTGTTATTCAAATGATCACAGATCGGTGCATTGCGTCTTCTGAATTTCAGAAATGATCTCGTTTTGATTTAAGTCAAAGAAATTCTTTTTATCAATACTAAATCCTTTATATCGTCATTATGCCTGAATATTTTTTACATGGGTGACCGTTAATAGTATTGGCTGAATGCATGATGAAAGGAACACTGTACAGGAAATCGGAATATCAAATGACACAATTTAATGGAATAGATATGAACTTGAGTTAATTGATTTAACTAGAATATTAATGAGACCCATATTATAGCTATTAATTGAAAAAAAGAACTAATTGAAACGATTGGAATGGCAATCGTTGGCTTTTTATTATGTTCAAATATTTTCCACATAAATCATTCTAGTAATTGCGTGTAAAAGCTTGATAAAAACGTCCAATATTTCAGTCAAGTTCTGAATTGTCGAATGCCTCAGTATAGAATTGCTCAACAATGCTTAAAGTGAGCAGCACTGCATTCTCTACAAATTATTCACTTAGGTGTACGTAGCAAGCGACTGTTAGGTATATGGTGTGTGAATATTTAGCAAGAACAGTTGGGCAAATACTCACTGAGTAATAGCTAATGAATGCGCTAGCCCAATAAATGAACGCTCTATTTAACTCACAAGATGGAAGAATGCGCAAGGTCTAGACACCTCACTTATAATGCTTAATTCACGTTTGTTTTTTACCTATAAATTCATTGGGTATTCAATTCTGCTAATGTCTTCTATATAAATAAGCATAACAGAAATATAGACGTCGTGGTAATCCTTTTACTCGGTTGGAGAAAGTTGAATTGTGTCAGTCGCAAACCACTCATTGGTTACGGATGAAAGTGAAGTCACTAAGCATAAAAGTATAGTTGTATATGCATTGCGCTAAATTGTGGACATTACATTATCTCAACTTGCAACATGAAAAAAAGTTATGTGGCATAATCTAGTTAAATACTGATAGAAGCACAAAAATGCGAGAAAACTTTAAACAGATTTCATCTAGGCTATTACCATAATCGTGCTTAGTGCTGTAGCGGATTTCTTCGTTAGTAAAGCCTGGCTTAAGTCTCAGAAACCTTTGTGATAGATTCTCCCAATTACCGAGTCTAGAGAAGCAGAGACGTATAACCGATACGTTTTTTCACTAGATTCCGAAGGTGAACTGTGATCACGCCGGTAGCTTAAACATGATCAGGATGGCGAATTTGGTTTAACAAACAGAGGTTAATGATTGGTCACTGTTTGTACGGTCGCACCTCCCAGGTCGCACCTCCCAATCCTGGCGTGCAGGCATGTGATGACGTGTTAAGCTATGACGTGACCCACAGTGCTGAAATACTGTTGAGTAGTGATTTTACAAATACAGTAAATAATAAATTTCTAAATGCGTCTTGTACAAATATATATAAAGACAACTTGGTTCAATGACTTTCATTTCCTTCAAATGAATCGTTAGTTGTTATTTGTTAAATAATAAACTACTTTTGAAAGCGTTGCAATGTATTCTTGAATAAAGAAGACCGCTAGAACTATATCTCTAATTACTTTTCCCGTCAGTTTTCACAGAAGTGCTTAGAAATGTTTCAATAAACATGTAAACTGGCATCTGTCATTCGAGGTTGAAATATACTAACTAATTGTCTACTTTGATAATAAGGCAAATTTGTTATGATCAATTTATTTTTTACTTAAGCAAAACCCCTGGCCATTAAAATGCCCTGATGTTATTTAATTCATTTACTTAATATCAATACAGTAAATTATATCATTTGAGTGAAATTAAGGAAATGATATTTATGGTTTTTGAATGCAACGAAAACTGCCATATTCTTCTCAGATCCACTTGGCCCATTGTTTCCTCTTATTTGGTAAGTTTGTCGTTGCAATATCCAATGAAAACTTCACCTTTCAAATCAAGTAAACTAATCTGTTTGAATTCCGTCAAGCTTAAATAATTAGTGATCACATATTTTGAGTAATATTGCTCCAAAATTAGTAGTAAATTGATTCTCTGAAATTAGAGATTTTTCATTTACACTCGCCATTGCTCGTTGTTGCAGGTTGTCTGTATTCTGAAAATTTACAATTTTGACCTTCAGATACCCTTTGTGTGCATGAAAATTCATTTCATAAAAATTATGTGTAAGAGCGCAATAAAATTTTATTCGTTAAGAAGTTTCTAAATGGATACTTTGATAATTTTAATCGATCCGCATTAAGGGCATAAAGAGTGCTAAAGGATTGCAACTTCTTTATTACGCATGATAAGATATGAAATGTATTTCGTTAAAAGCCTCGATGTAGTTTCATTTGCAAGCAAATTTCTATTTCGGACGAATAGAAATCTACGTCATTTACAGTCTGATTAACTCAATTGTAATCGTACTTTATTTCCATTTGAGATAGATAACTTCACTCTAATAAACCAAGTGAGTGAATGATTCTCATTTATTTCAAGCATTTAAGTGGTCTCAATGCCTCGCTAGCTCGTTCTAGCGCTTG